AGAGTATGCAGGCAGTTCCTGGAGGATGAGGGAATTGATACCATTGAATGGCCCCACTCTCGCCTGAGCTAAATCCAATAGAACACCTCTGGGACATTATGTTTCTGTCCATCCGACGCCACCAGGTTGCACCTCAGACTGTCCAGGAGCTCAGTGATGAGATCTGGGAGGTCTGGGAGGAAATACCCCAGGACACCATCCTTCGTCTCATTAGGAGCGTGCCCTGACGTTGCATACAAGCCATACAAGCACGTGGGGGCCATACAAATTACTGAGTGCCATTTTGAGTTGCTGCAATGAAATTTCACCAAAATGGACTAGCCTGCTGCATCTATTTTTTCACTTTGATTTTCAGAGTGTCTTTGAATTCAGCCCTCTGTAGGTTGATAATTTTCATTTCCATTAAACGATGTGGCATCCTTTTGTTCCGAACACATTACCCAGTCCATATCAGTATAGATATCCAGCATGATATTTTTCCACATTGAGATCTGATGTGTTTTCAAAGTATTCCTTTAATTTTTTTGAGCAGTGTATAAACCTTAATCAAATAAAAAGGAATTAATAGCTGTATGATATTACACTGTAGCCACACTGGACCAGTGCTTTGAAAAATGGATGGATGATTCAGTTGCAGGTGCCATCTTCTGGCGAGACACACAAGTTAATTTGGCACAACCCTTACAGTGCATTATGGGTATTCGCTAGCTGTTGGTGTACATCAGTTGTACACTCATTATTGCGGTGCACTGTGGGATTGATTGAGCATACTCAAAATCCAGTGTGGTTTTGGATGCCATTTGAAATGGGGCAGGTGATTTCGGACAGTATTTTAAACACAGCTCTTGATTAGCTGCATCAGGTGTGTTTATTTATGGTTGAAGCTCAACTCTGCAGGACAGAGGCCCTCAAGGAGCAGGTTTAGGCATCCCTGTCCTAGAGACAACTTTTTTTACTTGTTATAACCATAAAACTACATTTCTGTAACACTGTGTTTTTGACAACCTAAAAATAATTACATGATGAAGCTATGATGATTCTGGAGCAGCGTGTTTCTTCTTGTGTGTCTGAAAACCCCATTTAAAAGCGAATCTCTCGCCGCAGATGGAGCAGCAGTAAGGTTTCTCTCCTGTATGCATTCGTTCATGGATCTTCAGGGAAGTTGATATAGCGAAAGTCTTGTCACAAAGTGAGCATTTAAAAGGTTTTTCTCTTGTATGAGTCCTCCGGTGCACTTTTAAGTCACTTAGCTTATAAAAACTCTTCCCACAATCACTACAGGGATACGGTCTTTCTCCTGTGTGAATTCTCTGATGAACTTTGAAAGCAAATGAACTAGCGAAGCTCTTCCCGCAGTCGGAGCACAGGTACGGTTTCTCTCCGGTGTGAATCCTCTCATGGGTTTTTCGGTGAGTCGAATAATGGAAACGTTTCTCACAGTGTGAACACTGATATGGTTTGTCATCAGAGTGCATTTTTTGGTGTAACTTTAGAGAAGCTGAACTTATAAAATGTTTTCCACATTCACTGCACTGATATGGATTCTCATTGCTGTGCATGAGTAGATGTCTCTTCAGATTAGATCCCTGGCTGAAGCTCTTCTTGCAGTGAGGGCATTGATACGGATTCTCATTGCTGTGCCTGAGTAGATGTGTCTTCAGATTAGATCCCTGGGTGAAGCTCTTCTCGCAGTGAGGACACTGATATGGTTTTTCACCCGTGTGGATCCTCTTATGAACAGAAAGATCTCGTTTGTTGCGGAAAAACTTGTTGCATTCGTTGCACTGGAGAGACTTTTCTTCGTGTGTCTTTATATGAGCTCTCATACTATAAAGAGTGTTGAAAAAATCCTTCCCGCACTGTTCGCAGCGAAACTCCTTCTTCACGCTGTGCTCTTTTGAATGAAGTGTTCTCTCTTTGAAGGTAGGAAAACTGATGTTGCATATCTTGCAGGTGAAGTTATTCTGTTTTGTGTGTTTTCTCTGATGTCTCGTTAAATGACCCTGTTTGCTCAGTGTTTTTCCACAGTTGGTCACTGTCCTTTGCTCTTTAGATGTAGATCCAGTTTCTCCATCAGAAGATGAACTAGCGCTGTCATCTGAAAGGAACAAAATTGGCATAAAATAACTTTTTCTATAAGTTCTAGAGCTGAATAATCAGTCAAAACAAAATTGAAATTGTGATATGTCTAAGTGTGGTTATCAAACTACATAGGCTTTGATCTTTTATACACATGCAGCTGTTCTCAAATTGGCAGAATTCACAACAAATGCTGCTCCACATGAATTTAGGTCTGCATGAGGGTTGTGCGATATATATATATATATATATATATATATAGTCTGCGATAATATCGTAATTAGGGATGTCCCGATCAGGTTTTTGTGCCCCCGATCCGAGTTATTGAATATTTGACCATTAACCGACAGTAAGAATTCTACTGGGGTGGCTGACTGTTTTTATTCTAAGCTTGATTGTGTTTATATGGGGTGCAGTCTAACATGTGTTAATGCTTCATTTTAAAAAACAAACAAAAAAAAAACACATTATTTTTCACAATTTACCTTTATTCTACACCGCTCTGTCCCTTCTCCTTTGAACACTCTGAAGATTTCCTGGTTTTATGAAGCCCCTCCCTCAGATACACAATGGGATCAGATTGGTTAGCTGGCTCAGTGTGTTGTGATTCGCTAAACCACCAGTGCGCCTCTAATCGTCACGCCCCTCACATGTGCACTGGTGTTGTGTTGTAAACAATGGCGTAGTCAATATTGCTTATCAATTTGAGCCCAAATGAGACCCAGAGGATACTAGTGAAGAGGATCACGCAGAACCTGTGCAAGCACACAGCTCTTAATGGTATGTTTTTTTTGTTTGTTTGTTGTTTTCTCATACTTTTAGATACGCTGTTATTTGTAAATGCTACTGCTTATGTTCGCTTCTAATATAAGGTTTTATCCTGTTTAAAGCTTTAATACAGCACGGCAACCGCATGCAACCATGTTTAACACTGTGTATAATTGGAACACAGTTCATTATTGAAGCTGATGAGCTGATTATCTGAATGAGAGAGAGAGAGAGATCTATATAATAAGATATCTTATAATTATTAATATTCAACTTACATTGGAAAGGTTTCTGTGACCTCTCACGAGATCTCGGCATTTAAAGCTTTAATACAGCACTGCAACCGCATGCAACCATGTTTAACACTGTGTATAATTGGAACACAGTTCATTATTGAAGCTGATGAGCTGATTATCTGAATGAGAGAGAGAGAGAGATCTATATAATAAGATATCTTATAATTATTAATATTCAACTTACATTGGAAAGGTTTCTGTGACCTCTCACGAGATCTCGGCAAAAAGTCTCACGATTTATTTCCACAACATGATGCATGATGGGATACACTAAGCCTCGAATACCGCTCCGGATAGCGGTATTCAAGATAGTGTGGATTTAGTGTGTGTTAAGGGCACTGCGCTTTGGCGTTTTTAAGAACTGGGACAGTCTTGCGCACTTACTTCCTGTCACGCGCACGTGCTCTCAAGTGGCTAAGACCGCAAGTGTGGGTATTTGGACAAGGCATCAATCTCCGTTTGCATTGAACTTTCAGTGTTGTAACTTTGCAGATATTGTTTATGATCAAACAGCAACATTACACACTAACTAATGTTAAAAAAGTGAAATCGCAATCAACCACCCCTTTTACCGATTATTACTATCAGTTAAACGTTTTAAAAGTTTTTTGTTTTTTTCGCAAATATTTTTTGTGTGTTTGCTGCATGGTGAAAGCAAATATAATGCTATACTTATTTGTTTACTTATGGGCGCGTCAACACATGCAGCATGCCTAGGCTATACAGACATATTTCGCTGAGCAAGCACCTGCTTCACCTTCACTTATGTAGTATACGTAACACAATAGCAAGTGGCAATAATGGGTAATCAGAGAGTGAATCCGTGAGTGAATGTATTCAAATTCTGAATGGATTATAGCCTAGAAAGTGCGCAATGGGTGCGCCCCTTACAAATCACTGGAAAGCTGTCACTCATCTTACTGTAGTTCATCGCGATCTCACAAAGTTAATAAAAAGTAATAAAATAACCTTTACACTGTGCAATTAATCTCTTATTTACATTATTTACATTTTTTAAAGAATAGAATTAGAATAGAGAGTACTAAAGTTAGAGGGTCAAATAAAGATGGAAGAGATATGTTTTAGGCGATTCTTGAAGATGCTCGGATTGAGTTGGGCAGGTCATTCCACCAGGAGGGAACATTTAATGTAAAAGTCAGTGAAAGTGATTTTGTGCCTCTTTGGGATGGCACAATAATGCGCTGTTCACTTGCAGAATGCAAGCTTCTAGAGGGCACATAAGTCTGAAGTAATGAATTTAGGTAAAGGGGTGCAGAGCCATTGGTGGTTTTGTAGGCAAACATTAATGCCTTGAATTTTATGCGAGCAGCTATTGGTAGCCAGTGCAAATTGATAAACAGAGGTGTGACGTGCATTCTTTTCGGCTCATTAAAAATTAATCTTGCTGCTGCGTTCTGCATTAATTGTAAAGGTTTGATTGAACTGGCTGGAAGACCTGCCAAGAGAGCATTGCAATAGTCCATGTGAACGTGTGTATGTTTGCTGGTAAGATGTGCTTGACAGATTGTGGTGTGGAAAATTGTGCACTGATAGTTTTCAATGTGCACTATGCATTTAGAGTGTGTTCTTTCACTGCATGGTTCAGTTTATTAAATGCACTTAGAATTAGGGCTGCACGATAAATCGAAATGGAATTCTTTCAGTGAAGCACGGTTCTGTGATCAGCAGTAAATCTCCATCCGAAGGCCAGAGGGCGCTATCGCGCTGAAACTCCAAATACGCCTCGCAGAAGAATCCCAGAAAATGCCTATAGCGGTAGCTGGATAAACAGAAGATTTAACTGCTTTTATTGATTCAACGTGACTAATAAACACACGATTATGACAATATATGGTTTATCTGAGTTATTATTATTATAATTTTCATTAAAATATGTTAAGCCACTCCTGAACTGCCTTTATCACTGCTTAAATACTATGAAATATGTTGCGTGCCTTATTCTCTCACAGAAGGATTTATTTCAAACACTCGACTGACGTGAGTTTGGAGTAAAAATATGTTATTAAATGTGGTATTTCCACATGCTTTCAGATGGAGCAGCATTTACTTCACAGAGCCGTAGTTCACTGAGAAACTATGCAAACAGCTGTCATTATCGCGAACGATTTCTTCGATTTCATAATCGCGCGATTAAATCGTCT